CCTTGAGTCAGGGGGCATCTAGGAAGCTTCAGGAGGAGGGTGCATGGAGGCAGAGACCCTGCAAGTGCTGGGTATTTCCAGAAAGTGAGGCCCACAAAGGCAGGATGAGGCCGCCGGGCCTGAGTTTGCAAGCCCCATCCCCCCCCCCCGCCCCCCCCACCCCACTGGCTCCCTTATTATTTATTTTCCCTGCCAGTATCTACAGAAAAACTCTTGAAAAAAAGAGTTCTGTCCTGTCCTGGCACAACCCGCCCGGGTCCCAGATGAGAACACTAAGGGCCGAGGGGTGATGATGCACTCTCCTGCTCCCCAAGTGGCCTGTCTCCCTTTCACAGTGGTTGCCAAGTGCTTTGGGCTGGACAAAGTCTCCTGCAGGCTGAGGTCACCTCAAGTCCACTTGGCTGGAGTTATGTCCCTTTAGAAAAGGCTTGAGTCACTCAGCGGCGCAGCCCCCAATTGGGCCCTGTAATTGGGATCTTGCCTTGTTTGGGGCAGAATGAAAAGAGACTTTGAACCAGTGAGATGCCACACACCCTCCTCATCCGCTTCAGCTGGGAGTGCCACTCTGGTGGTGGGAAAGGTGGCAGAGCCCAGGTGGTTCAGACAGACGTCAGTGGCGGGGAGGGCATGGTGGGGATCAGACAGGGGTACCTTCCCTTCCTCATCAGGAAAACCGGCCTCCTCCGCTGTGCCCGTGGCCTCTGAGAGCACCTGGAGCCTCCCATGGTGTTATTTTCTGGAAAACCAACCCTGCTGGCAGCGCTGTGGAAACGGAGTCTTGAAAGCTCACCTGGGCAGAAAGGAATTGAACAGATTCTTTAGCTCCACAGACGTCACAGGCAAAATTGTAACATTACCTTCCATTTGACCGGCTGAGAGTGGGTGACTCATCGGCGTCTTGTGGCTGGGAACACAGAGAGATCCTTCCCACGTACAGTCTCTAGGGTACTCGAGAACCTCCCAGGCCTTGATCAAAATGTGCCAAGAGCGGCTTCATGGTTCTCCCACCTCCACAAATGTGTATTCTAAAGACCTGCGTTGCCACAGAGCTGGGATTTCTAACAAATTTGCTCCCTCAGGATACCATAACGCTGAACTTTCCAAGCCTTGTGGCCCTTTGCGATTCACAGGCCACTCTGTGAGATGACGGGAGAAAGGGGCCCTGCTGGGAACCCTCGGCCGCTGCAGCCTGTGAGGCTCCCCACCCCGTGTCTTTGCACCTTAAACTAACCAGCAGCACCCTAAACTGTTTTGGAAGGGAGGGTGGCTGTTTCCATGGTCTCACTCATGCTGCTTCTAACAGTTATCCTGGCACCACCCAGGGACTTCTGGTCTGAACGTGCAAGTCTGGGGAGGCCCACTGCTCACTCGGCTCCAGCGTCTCACCTGCCCTCTGAATCCACAAGGGTCTGAGTTGACTGAATTGTTTCAGAGTCTAGGCTGGTCCATGACCTGTGGCCTGCAGAGAAAAGATGAGTCGGCCAATTGGATTTGCTCCTTGGGACTTTAGATTTAGCGTTCTGGCAGGTGGGCCGTGAGCTGGGTTGCAAGGTCCCAAGGACTTGGGGGCCTGGATGCTTCAACACAGCCCCGATACTCACCACCCCAAAGTTAGCACGCACTCCGCCAGTGAGGAGTGCAGTCCCCACAAGACCGCCCTCACTTCAGACCCCAGCCATGATCCCCCAAGCAGAGAGGTGGGCCTGGGGCAGCCGGGGCCACAGGGCCAGGATGCTGGAGGAATTTCTGCAGGAGCATGGTGGGCGTGGCCACCTCAGGATACTGAGAAACAAGTCCAACTGAAATAATAAACAGTATCAACGCTTCAGTCATCAAATATGCAATTTAATAATTCAGTGGCACACTTAAGAGCCAAATATTTGTCTGGAAGTGGTGACCTTATCGAGGCAGGCTTTGTTTGCTGTTAAGACGTGGAACCTTGCCCCAGACCTTTTGAGTTGTGGGAGGAACTCAGTTTATTTCACGGGATTTTTAGAGGCGCTGGAGGCTAGGTGTGAGCAGGGAGGCCATTCAGGGTCCCTGTGGCCTTTTAGGGGACACCCTCCTGAGAGTGGTTGAGAGCCACTGAAATAAAGCCTTTGTCGGCTATCTTTCTTGCTAGATTGGGTGCCCCAAGAAGGGGAAGTCCCAAGAGGGTGACACCCCCTCCGTCTTGCCTGTTGCCATGTCCCCAGCTCCGCAGTGCTCAGTATAGGAGCTGCCCAACCACATTGGTTGAATGAATTAGTGAATCTGTGTTAATATTCTTAAATTAACGGATAAATTAACTTATAAAAGCTGTACACAGAAACACACACATGTATGTGTGTATAAGATAGACTCCTGGTTTCTGTAAACTAGCTACCTGAGAATCACCTGGGGAGCCTTTTAAGAGGTTATATTCCTGGGTTCTAGTTACAGAGACTTGGGGTGCAGCCTGGGAGCCTATTGTCAAGAGTACTTCATTGGTTCCTCAAAAAAGGTAAACATAGACTTACCATGTGATCCAGTGTAGGGGTTCAGAACGAGTCCTCCAAGATATGCCTCTATGGTATGTGCTTATTTTGAGCTGAAGGCAATGGGGACCCTTCAGGTTCATGAGAAGCTTTTACCTTAAAGAATTTAAATTAGGGGCTTTGCCCATAATAAGAATTATCACCAGAAATAACTTTTTATGACCACTATAAAAAGGTCATAACTTTTTATAGGACAGGCAAACTTTTGATTACTGAACATCTGCTCGTCTTATCATCCTGCAAGGACCCTCCTCCCCGCTGAAGCCCAAGGCATCTTACCTCATCCTTAGCTCAGAATGCCATATATCTCATTTTAACTTTCTGTCCCTGCACCTCTCACGCATGTGGGGTCCACATATGTATGTATTTAGTTAAATTTGGTTATTTTTCTCTTGTTAATCTGTCTCGCGTAGATTTAATTATTAGAATTAAAGGAGCACAAGACAACCTTAAAGGGTAAAGGAAAGCTGCTTCCGCCCCCACACCAGCAATTCTGCTCATAGGTGTGTGCTCAGAAGGATTGAAAGCAGGGACCCATGTCCACATCGCAGCAGTATTCACTATAGCCAAAAGTTGGAGACGACCCAAGTGTCCATCCACAGATCAATGGATACACAAAATACAGTCTATACACACAACAGAAGTGTATTCAGCTTTAAAAATGGAATGAGGCTCAGTTGGTTAAGAGCTCGCTCAAGAGTTTGAGCTCTGAGCAACAGTGGTTCGAGTCAGCCCGAGCTGAGCAGCCGCGGAGCTGCCAACAGGTGGCGGGATGGCTCAGCTTAAAAAAAAAAAAATAAATAAATAAAATAAATAAATAAATAAAAATGGAATGAGATCTGACACCTACTACAACATGGATGAATCTTGAAAACATTATGCTAAATGAAATAAGCCAGTCACAGAAGGACACATATTGTATAATTTCACTTATATGCAGTACCTAGAGTAGTCAAATTCATAGAGGCAGAAAGTAGAATGCTAGTTGCCAGGGTCTGGGGCAGAGAGAACAGGTAGTTATTATTTAATGGGCACAGAGTTCCAGTTTGGGATGATGAAAAAGTTCTGGAGATGGATGGAGGTGACGGTTGTGCAACGATGTGAATGTACTGACCCCCACTGAACCACATACCTAGAAATGTTAAGAGGGTGCGTTTTATGTTGTGTATATTTTACCACACACACAAAAAGGCTTGCTTCATCCCCGCCAGGTCGGGGAATGACGAGTGTGGGACTGTGGGAGTGGGGGCGATGTGGACGAGATGGTGCGAATGGCCCTTTGAGGCCTTGCAGCTGGCTGGTGGCTGAGCTGGGAGCGCTGACTTTGCAGCCTTCTCCGAGATGCCCATCCTCACCTCTGTCCCTCAGGAGGCCCGGCAGGCCGCCTGAATAGAGGCCGCGTGGCCTGTCTGCCAGGGCAGCTGCTGCCCATTTCCAGCTGAGCCTTGCCATGTGGGATGCCTGGTTATGGGAGAGACGTCTGAAATGGATTTGTAGGCAGAATTTTCAAATGTTTAAATCTTGACAACTGGTCCAGTGAACAGGCGAGCAAGCACGCCACGTGTGGGTCAAATGGAACAGGTGTGCCGCCCCGGGTCTGGGGAGACGTCTGCCCCGGGTCTGGGGAGACGTCTTCCCCGGGAGCTCACAGGCTCGGGCCCCAGGTGGAGAGACCCCCGTTCCCGCCCCTCTTCCCGGCACTGTATCACCTCTGAGGTCTGACACCAGGTTTCTTCTTGACCCCTGAAGATTTCTCTTGCTTTCAGCGCACACAGAAGGGAAGTCTGAAGGGTGAGGGTGAATGTCTAGGGTCTGGATTCCACTCAGGCTGGGGTCTTGGCTCTGCCATTATGAGCTGTGGGGCTGTAGGCGACTTGCTTCTCCCCCACCCCGTGCCTCAGTTTCCTTATCTGTCACGTGGAAATAGTAAGAGTTTTGCCTCACAGGGTTAGAGTGAGGACTCCACGAGGGTGCACGTGAGGAGTTTGGCTCAGGGCAGAGCCAGCAGAAGGGCCCTGCAGTGTGATCCTGAGCGTGCGTGTGTGTGTCGGCGCCGGCTGAGGGGAGAGCGAGTGTGGAGTCGGGCAGGCCCTCAGCTGGCGAGTTACACAACCTCGGACATCTGTTTCTGCATCTGTGACGCTGGCCCAGTGAGTGCTTCCTCAAAGAGTCATTCTGAGGATTAAACAAGATAGCGTTCAAACGGTGCCTGGCCACAGCACATGCCCAGTACACATTTGTTCTGCCGTTTGGAGTCTGAGGCCTTTGCCTTCTCTGGGGACCTGACAGGAGGGAGCTGGGGCTGGTTGGCCAGGCTGAAGAGAGGAAGGCAGACTGCAAAGAAAGGGGCTGTGGTGAGCTCCTCCGCCCCAGCTGTCTCCCAGCTGGGGAAGCAGGCGGACAGGCGCTCAGGGATGGGATGCAGGCTCTGGGGCCTTGGTTAACACCAATATCAACTGACATCTTTGCCCCCTCTCTCTGCAGGGGGCGGAGGAAAGCGCAAAGGGAAAAGCAAGAAGTGGAAGGAGATCCTGAAGTTCCCTCACATTAGCCAGTGTGAAGACCTCCGGAGGACCATAGGTAAGCCATCCTGCCTCCAGGGAGCTCGGGGAGGGGCTGGCAGGGAGCAAGGCGCCTGCTAGCCACCAAACAGTGAGGCAGATACAAATCAGTTCCCTGAAGGGCTCCAGGCGGACATCCTTGCTAATTGACATACAGATGCAACCAATGTTTATTGGGTATTTGGTGTGTACCGGGCAGAATTCTTTCTCAGTTACCTTTGGAGGCAGGTTACTGTTATTTTGCCCCACCTTTCAGATGGGGAAACCGAGGTGCACAGGGGTTCCGTGACCGGCCCAGTCACACAGCTTGCGGGAGGGTGGTGGGGGCAAGCCAGGCCCAGCACTGAGCCCCCGCGCGGAGCGCTGCACCCTTCCTTCCTGGAGCCCATGGACCCTGTCCTTCGCAAGCAGCCCCAGGCTTCGGGGGCCCAGGGTGGGGTGAGCATCTGGGCTCCCTTTCCCCTCACCAGGGATGTTGGTGCTCGGTGAGGAGCCTGCACAGCCAAACACTCCTGGTGAGGTCCGTCCCTGGCCCCACTTGGGACACGGCTGTGGTGACTGGTGAGGGCTCCGAGGGGTGGGTGTGACGGTGGGGACCCTGGCCCTTCTCCCCTGTGTGCCCTTGGGTGGGGTACCCCTCCCTCGATGCATGAAGGCTCCTTATTGGATACAGGATGCCCTGTTACCCTGGCTACCAGAATGCCTTTCCTGCAGGCTGAGCCCAGCATTTCCTCAATGGGCCCCAGGGACTGGCTCCCAGTCAGCCTCAGAGTCAAAGCGCTGGTCCAAGAGACCTTTCTTAGGAGTTGGATTGGCGGAGAGAGCTCGCAGTCCGAGGAAAGGACCCCAGAGCGGGGAGCGGTACCAAGAAGCAGGTGGCCGTGTGAGGGCTCGGCTCACCAGGGAGGGGCCTTGCCTGCAAAGCCCTCGCTAGGGAAGCCATCTGCTTCTCTGCCTTTGAATAAACTGCCCACAGGTGGTGGTGCCAGGAATGCCCCGTGAGGCACGGCCAGGACGAAAGACACTTCCTCAGAGAATTTAAATTAGCTCCTGGCCAGGGTCTTTCGGAGTGCGCTGTTCCCTGCTCAGCCATTGTTGGTTGTCTTTTTGCCTCTCAAGTGTGAAAGGCTCTTCAGGAAGGAGCTTTTAAATTCACCACCGTGCACCCAGTACTTGGCCTGCAGGAGTCGCACAGTAGATGGTGGTTGATGGATGAGTGAAGAAGGAAAGAATGAATGAAAATGTGTAAGTGAACACCAAACTAGTGTTTCAAATAAAATGGAGGAGTATTGAGAGTATTATAAAGAACGTTCATGTATCTGCCATCTGGATTTAAGAAATCTTAATACTTTGCTATATTTGATTTGTGTGTTTCTTAAAAATACAAAACATATGAACTATAGGACTTCTGGTTCGAGATGGCACTGTCCTGTCCCTCTCACCAAGGACAGCCAAAGGTACTAGACATCATGTACAGAACAAATGTAAGGAGATTCTGAAAGATGGAGGGGAGAGGCAGACGGGCTGGGGACCTTGGGATGTGAGGAGTGTGACATGCCAGCAAGTGCGTGGGTTTTCTGTTTTGCCTCCCTATTTCCCACGGACAGGGTGCTAGAGAAACTCATGACCTGGAAGTGCCAATGGGTGCAGACAAAAAAGACCCCCCCCAAAAAAACAAACAAACAAGCAAACAAAAGCCCATTCTCTGTAGCCCAGGAAAGGGGCAGCTGAGCTGAGCCGGGAAGCTGTTGTACAGCTGGCCACTCCCCTACTGTCACTTCTGTACGTTCACACCAGCAACATGGAGGCCTCCCTTTCTGCCCGTCTTCTCACTTAACCGAGATCCAGCTTCAGATCCAGGGCACCCTTCCCGCACTTCTCTCCTCTGCCACCCAGATTCTGATACTTGTCCGAGGCTCGTGCACCCCCAGACCCTCAGCACCCCTCACTCCAGCCCTGCTCCCCATGAGGCTGCTGGACATTGCCCTGGAAGCACCACAAATGTCCCTCACCTTCCAGTTGGTCCTGCCCTCTTCACTTCCGGTTTGGGGGACCCAGGAACGTAGGATTTGCCTCTGAGCTTTCCTTTGTCTGTGGACCCTGCCCCACAGGCCCCATCCCCACGGGTCCCTCTAGGTCCATAAACAGGCCTCTTGGCAGGGCCCACCCCCCACCCCCACCCGCCGGGAGGGTGCGCTCTGGCATGTGAAAATGAATTCTTCTGTTCTCCTCAATCCTAGAGGGCGTTGAAAAGAGTCTGTGTGCGAGTGCAGTGTGAGAGGAGGCTGGGCAAAACAGGAAGGCCGCCATAAACCCAGGGGCTGCCGTCCGTGGCCACGGCCCCAGCGCTTGGGCCTTCCCGCCTGTTTACAGTCCGTCGCCGTGGTGTTTGCTGAGCCTCTGCTGGGGTCCTTTTGGAAGGCTTTCTTAAATAAAAATCTCATTGCTTTTCTAGACCAAGACACAAACCAAACAGTGGCAAATGCCGCATTTATTTTTCTTGTGGACACATGAGCTCACACTCTGCAGCTCTTTGGGATGATGTGCTGGGACAGGCTTCGGGCCAAGGTGACAGGGCCTCTTTGGGCCCAGAGGACAGTGTGGGGTGGTGCGGTGGGAAGGCCCTTGATCAGAGCGAAGGGCAGAGCCCTCGAGGACCCAGGGACGCTGCCTCCTCTGCATGGCCCAGAACAGTGGTCAGTGAAAGCCTGCCCTCTTGCCCACAGCACTGCCCTCCCAGCATGTCCTCCCAGCAGCTAGGGTGACTTTGAAAAATGAAAACTGTACCCTATGAATCCCCTGCAGAAAACACTGCAACAGTCCGCCATCCCGCTTGGAATAAAACCCAAGCCCCTTATCCTGCCTTATAAGCACACTGGCCATTAGGTGAAGCCTAGAGACCCCTTCTCAGAATAATGCTTTTACTTGTAGAAAGTAAAATACAGGGGTTGCAAAGGAAACCTGTTCTTTTCAGTTATTCGGTACTTTTAAAATTTATGATATTGAAGTATATGTGCTTCTAGGTTAGTACCTTAAATAATGAGGTTTGGCAGCTGGTCAAAGAGCTGCTGTAATGTTGAATTTGTGATAAGTGTTAAGTGATATTTCCAGATACCTGTAATAATGCGATATGAATGGATCTGCGACTTCTGTCGTTGGCAAGTCCCAGGTGCCGCTACCGTTACTGTGGGTTATTGTCGACTTTCATGACCCAACCAAGTGCTCGTTTTCAGCTAGAGGTTGGTGAAAATAGAGATGACATGTTCTTCTGTCCAAGTCCATGGGTCCCCTAAATCCTGTCCGTGGACCTGTTGGCAGTGGCTTTGCCCCCTGCCCTTTGTGAGCTGGGCCTGGCCTTTGTCTCGAATCACTCCCTCCTCCCCAGTCACGAGCTGCACTGATGGTCTTTTTCTTCAAATACCTCAGATTTGTCTCCAGCCTGGAACTTTTGCAACTGCTGTTCCCACAGCCTGGAATGCTCTTCCCCACACATTTTCCAGGGGCCTCTAGGTCTCTGTTCAGATGTCACCTTCATAGAGAAGCCTTCCCCACCAGCCTCTGGGAAGGAACCACACTCTCCCTGTGGTTGCTGCCTATTCATGTTCTTTGCCTGTAACGCCATCTGAAGTCATCTCTTGTTGTTGACTTGAGTCTTTCCTGTGTCCCTCCCCCCACTGCACTGGGTGTCCCATGACTGTGTCTTGCCTGGCTTACCACCGGGACAGTGCCTGACATGGAATAGGGGCTCATTAAATATTGGGTGACTGACTAGAGGAACGAATGAGGTGAAATATTGGAAATTAGAGGTCTTTAAAATTTGTGATGTGCTCATCATAGCCACATGTAATCTTATCCAGTGGTTTAAACCTAAAGTCATAGACATTTAGACTTTGGAAGTACCTTAGAAAACATCTACTTTAATAGCCCTCCCCTCAGTCTTTATTAGGTAGATGAGTCAACTTAGCACAAGCTACAGGACTGGGGCCACAGTCTGGCACCCACTAAGTAGGGGACGTCTCCTGGTGGCTCCTGGCCCAGGCTGGTTTCCTCTAAGACTACAGTTTGAGTAATTCTCACAGTGATGTTAGGGTTCCACAGAATCCTCAACACAAGGAACTGGAGAGCATCTTGTCCAACCACCCATTTTGGACCTGAGTAAAAGGAGACGTGACCTGCCCAGGACAGCTCAGGCCCCTGGTCTATATAGCTTCCCATTCCACAGCATCATATTGACTCATAAATGTTTTGGGCATCAGCCCCTACCAGTAATCAAAGCAGAGACTCTCTAGGCACTCAAAGGGACGGGCGTTTCTGTCTGTCTGTTTCTTTTTATACTATCTTGTAAGTATGGGTTGTATGTTCACAAGTGTTTATTGAGCACTTACTATGTGACACCCATTGGGGATGGGGGGGTCACAGATGTGATTGCTGCTCGCCTGGAGCTCATTCATGGCTTTGCCCAGGAGACTGAGAGAAATAAAGCAATGATAACAAATTGAGAAATTTCTATAATGGAGGAACAGAGTGCTGAGCTAGATAAAAGTGTTGAGGGTCTGCACCCGTCAGAAACATCCCTGGATGGAGGTGGTATCACTGAGCCTCCTGGGACATCTGTTTCTGTGAGCTGGACCACATCCTGTCCACCTTAGAGTCTCCATTACTGGCACAGTGAGTGGATGGGTGGTGGAAGGATGGATGGATAAAGTGGCCGAATGGACGCTGCCCTCCTTCCCAGCCTGGAAACCGTGATTGGCAGCGATGGGTATTAAGACAAATTCCTCGCCATACACATTTATTTCCATCGTGAGCCCCAGACATAAGTAACTGATTTTAGACAGCCCTGGCTGAGGGCAGACAGACCATGAGAGGAGGAAGGGGTTCTGTAGTCTGCTTGATGAAACATCAAGTAATGACATTACTAGTTAATAAGCTAATTGTTCACATAAGATAATTAGAGGCCCCAAATCAAAGGAGTTCTCAGAATGTCCAAAACTTGGAAGGCTAGAACGTCATTGTGAA